AGAAAAAAATGTGAGGGCATCCACTGAGGGGAGAAACAATAATTAGAGGGAAAATGTAAAATGGCCTGAATCTTCCATATAAAATGATTACATAGGCCTCTATAGAAGAAGCCTCATCAAAGGCTGGTGCCAGAAGAGACTGAAAAAGCTTTCCAGATGGCCAATAGTCCTTCAGATCTGTATAAAGCTTTAGTTCATTCCACATGTCTGTATGCACAAACCAGTTCCCTTGGGCAGAGAGAGGAAAATGGCTACCATGGCTAGGATTTGGAATGGAGGAAATTAAAAAGTCACTCAGATCTCAAAATCCTAGTATTGGTGTAGTCCTCTGTTGCATTTTAGGACCATAAAATATTGAGAATAGAACCCAAGAGTCTTTCCATAGCTGTATGAGGATTTCTGGTGGGGCATGCCAAACATTTCAAATTTGAAATGCTGCAACCTGGAAATGTCCCTTTTTGACTATGCTGGCTCCATATTCCATCTCAAAAATATTTGTTGGAATTTGAAATACTGTAGTTGTTTCAAGTTTGAAACTTCAAAAAAAAAAAAAAAAAGCCAAAAGACCTCTTGCCTCGAAACCACACTGTTTCAAGGTCAAACTATTTCAAATTTGAAACATGAAACATATACCCATAACTGCACTTTCCCCAGAAGATTCTGAACCTCAATTTGAGGGGAGGAAATAAAACTGCTGGAAGCATGACAGGGAAGGCAACCCTGAAAAATACAGTGCTTAGCTACTGCAGACAAAATTCAAAACCCAATGACCTGAATGTCCCCTCAATCTGCAAGAAAGCATTGCTAACAATCATGAACTCAATTTTAAGAGGACCAGACTAAATAAAATTATGCTTTTCCAGGTCTTCTAGGTGTTTCCAGCTTTGGGAATGATATTCTGACCCAAATTAAACTGGTAAAATCTAAAATAAAATGGCCTTTGTCTTTGGAAATGCTGTGTTCCTGATGAAAATGGGAAGAATGCTTACTTGCTTGGGAAGTATAACTTCTTCAAGGTGATACTTCCTAACAGCATGCCTTTGTGTTCCCAAGATTGTGTGGCGAGCCGAGTTTCTGAGCTTCTGGATAAGGTCTTTGGCTTGGCATTAAAAATACTGTTACTAACAAATACCAGAAGAAGTCTCTTTCATAATGCTATAAGAATCAAGTCAAAC